AATAAATCTGTGTCGAATCGAGCGGTGTCGAATCGTACTGTGGTCAATAAAGTATCACCCCATAGTGACTAGAAGAAGTATATAGAACAGAGCAATATAATATAGAAGAAAACTCAGACGCTTGTAAATAAGAAAATATTTTATAAAAAACACATTAGGAAGTCTTAAAGTAACATATTAATAAAAAGAAGAATAAAAAGAAAGTATCATCAAAAATCTATTTTCTAGAGCAAGGTCTTTTTCATAGAATCTATACAGTCTTTAACGCACGATTAATATATTTCAATATAATGTATGAAATTTCTTATTGTGCAATGTATTCACTATTCTAAATAACTAATATCTATTTATTATAATAATTTTTCTCTATTCGCAATTTTATACATCAGATTATAACTTATAATTTTACATTAGATAATGTATTTCTCTCTCTCATTGTCAATTTTTTCTACATATACAATTTATAATTTAATATATCTTCTAATGATATATATATATATATATATATATATATATTTATTATATATATATATTATATATGCAATTTAATTTTATAACTTTTTACACACATCCTATATGTTTACATTTACAAATGTGTTTTTTGCTTCAATAACATATCTTACTGTTATTTTTTATGCATTTCATGGAAATAAATGATAGCAAATTAGCGAGAGTGTAATATTGTGACAAAAAAACATAATATCGTGTATTTGCACGATATTATGCGAAAAAAATTGGTGAAAAGTGTTCGCTGCATGTAACAAATTTTTTTCAAAAAGCGGTAAAATATACGCGGTAAAAATCTGATACACTGACTTATTGAATAACACAAAGATTAATCAGAAAAAAATGTTATAATCTTCTAGGTTTTGTATGCGAATATCATATGCCTCACAATGCGAAATCGACAATCGATCACAGTTTAAATATCAGTCACTCATACGTAAGTGGTTTCATATACTATATCTATATATAATTTTCTTTCATAAAAGACATTCAAAATTACATATCGTTTTATTTTCTTTTTTTTCTTTTATTTATTTTTATCTTTGTTTCAAGATCTGTTTTCGTATATCAAAGAATCTGTTACATACTTCGAGTAGATTTTCACACAGAATTTCCTTCAACTATAAATTAATGTCAGTAACTTTTCTATCAGATTTTATAGAAGACATTTATATATTTATATATAAAAGTACATATTTATATATAAAACACTTGAAAGATTTGGTCGAGTCTGTTGTATTGCAAATTGTACGTGAAGAAAATAACTATGCAAACTCTCTAGTACAGCTACACGTATTCCAATGTATTGTGCGTAGTGAAACTTTTGAGTAAAAAGTCTCTTTCCACCTTTGGAAAATTCGAAACTTTTATATCTTATAAAACTGCGTAAGAACTACATCGAGTGGTTAGCAAGCCTTTAATATGCGCGCGCGTGCATTTTCTCGTTCACCCGTCGCTTTCCTCATCGGTAACAGACCGTGAGTTTACGAGTAAAGTATAATTCAACCACAGTCATTCTCGAATTGTGTGTGGTTACCACATAATTGGACAAGTTCGAAACTCATGCAGACGAGGTCCTTCACGTCCTCGAAGTATCTTTCTTCCAGTTAACCGGGGCAGGTAATTTCCGATTTGTGCCATCCAAGTTCAGTTTACTCTTGGAACATTTTCGACATGTTAGTCGCCAGAAAGCGAGTCTGAAGTCTGCCGAATAGAAGGCGTAGATGAACGGGTTGATGGCCGAATTGATCCATCCTGAACACAACACACAATCACTTCTGGTTATTTCGTTCCGCTTAAGTAAAAAAACAAAACAAAAAACAGCAAGAAATTTGCGAACAAATCTTTCCGTAAATAAAAACTTGTCGCCGCGCAATTACACAACTCTGAAGAAACTGCAAACAAAGTGTGAGCATCGAGGTCTAAGAGAGATCGCACAAATAATTTCCAAAGTTTAAATTAACTTTGAACTTGTATAGAAAATACCTAGCCACGTTAAAGCTGGCATGAGAATGTCCGGCGGCTCCATGGGCACAAAGGGTGTCGCCAGGTACAGAGTGAAAAATGGTAGCCAGCACGCAACAAAACCACCGACAACCACTGCCAAAGTGCCCGCAGTTTTTGTTTCCCTCGCGACCCTGTTGATAGCTCTGATGATTACCCCGAATTGTGCTCAACTTTTTGCACATGTTCGTCGGTTCGACTTCCTCGGTTGGTTTACACGTCTCGCCGCTTTCCGCGCAATTCGAACGCTGCGCTTTAATGCTCCTCCCGCGATCAATCTGCAACAATTTCGCTCTTTGCATGTATGTCAAAACTCGGCAAGATTTTCGAAGTCTTTCGTCTCCTTTTTTTTGCGAAATTTTTTTTTCTGATTTTCAAATATAAAGTTTTTTTCTTCGCAAGTTAAATACGAGCAAAAAACAAGCTCGAACGTTTGAGAGAATTTATGTCAAATCTCGGACTGTTCTTTTGCGATCTTGTCAAGTATTGTCAAACGATAAGAGAATTATCATTGCACGTGATGTGTCACATATTTTATGTTTGTCTGCTTTTGATCTTGTAACTTTAACCTTTACATATTCTCGCTAACAAATACAAACTTGAAAGATTAGACATCAAACATGTGACGTAATCGAACATTTCTTACTAGAAAGTAAAAAACGACATGCGACGAAGCCTCTTTATCGCTCATTGAGATAATTATTCTTTTACATTTTTCTTTTTTTTGTTATTTAATAGTTTCCTACTGTGAAAAAAGATTATCGAAAAAAGGTTTGCTTTTATCGACGTGAGTGTTCCCCTTAAATCTTTAGAAAACCTTTCCGCAACCGGTAATAAATCGTTCACTGTTTATACTGTTGTTCTCCTCGCGTTCGTTTGTACCTTAAAGAATTATTTTCTAAACACCACTTGTTTTACTTTTCCAACATAAATCAGAGTCGCAGTGTTGCGGATCGGTTCAATACAGCGCACACGTGTGTGCGCGCAAATCGCGTTTTGTATCGCAGTTGTGTTCTCAACGATGCTGCTGTTGTAATTGAAAATTCTTCAAATATGACAAATTGAAATTAAACATCGTTCAAATTGGGAGGCAATCAAGAACTTTCACAAAATTCATGATGAATTGTTTAAATGTAATTACAAATAGAGAAGTAAAAAGTTTTAGTGCAAAATCCGACAAAAAGACGACCGTGATATCTACTGTGTGCTAATGATTGATAACGGTATCTCGGTTGTATAAAGTCGGATATAATGTGGATTACAGGAAAATCCACGTCTTTCGCCTTGGTATTAAAATTGCTCTCTGTCGACGTTTGTCTCCTGGGGAAAGCGCGGTCTCGGTTTCTCGGAAATCTTCTTCGCGACGACATTACTGGAACAATTTCATTATCTTTATCGATATTGTCGTCAGGAATGATGATATCTTGATTGATGTCGCTCGTGTAAAACGACGTTACATACGAATCACAGGACGCGCTTTGCATCACAAGCGGACTATTAAACCGTTGATTTTTGCGCTGTCTTCCTCGCGATTAGAAATGGAGATTGTTTTCAATTCAGCTCAAACGTATATATACGGTATCGTATTCACATTTAATTGCCGCTACGTTTGTCGTTGCATGCATTCTTCCCTGATTACCCGTCGTGCCAAAAATTTTTGTGCTCTATCTTTTGTGCGCGCGTTCTGTGTAGTTTTAAAAGTTAATTACAGGTACGGAAGGCGACATCGTGCCCCGTCTGCGAAATGAACGTCATGGGAAAGCTATTTTGCTCGACAAGAAAGCATTTCGGGTAATTAAAAGAGCTTGATACTTAGAGAAATAGAGGAAGCTTCTTGGAATACGTGAAGTACACAATTACATGCATCCATATCATTTTTTGGCGCAGTCTAAACCTCTAACCATTTTTTTGAAAACTCGCTTTTTACATTTTAAATATTCTAATGATATGGTTGTGTTACATTTGTTATATGCCACGTGTATCAGTAAAACGTAACTTGCGAATTGATTGAGTAGAATTTCATCAATAAATCACTGATATCTTGATGTCAGAATTAGCTCGTAGTATTTCTTGCGAACGCGATACGCGAAAACACGAGATTAATGTGACGCAAGTATGCAAAACACTTTTCCTAATCTGATGAAATTCTCTTACTTGATCTGATAAAACACAGTCGTGATAATAGTTTCTATTGAATTACAAGAACAATCAGTGCAAAATACGCAAAAAAATATTGCGTAACGAGAAATGAACTATCGCTCTTGTGCGCGCGCTGATAACGCGCAATCCCTACGGAGAACTGTATCAAACAAATTCTCACCGTGAATTTACGACGTGGCCGAACGTTTTCCGCCTTGTTCGTTTCCAGACTTCTGTGCCGGCCCGCTATTACGCACGAAATTCTGCCGTACACATACAACATCACCAGCATAGGTAGAAAAAAGCTGCCCATCGCCGAGAATATCACGTACGAGGAGTCCATGTTGTAGGAGCATTTTTTGATATCGCGGTTCGGTGCGCGGAAAACAACCCAGCAAAGGCGGGCTCGTTATTGCGCCCGCTGTATATAACTAATACAACGTATGACAAATGTTTTAACGCTTTAACCAATCGAGCACCTACTTTTTTTAATCACGGTTACTTTTCTACGCTCGAGCGCGTCCAGGGACTACGTCCCGTCATACACTACCTTTGCGACCGCGTAACTCCAATATCGTTCGAGCATCTAATTCGAAACTTTATATCTAAATACTACAACATATGACAAGTGTTCTAAAGCAGTTACGGAACGAGCACCTAATTGTTTTACCTACGCGTCCAGCGACTAAGTCCTGTCATACGCTAACTTTGCGACCGCGTAACTCCGGTATCGTTCGAGCACCGAATTCGAAACTCTATATCTAAATACTACAACGTATGACAATTGTTTTAACGCTTAAACCAATCGAGCACCTAATTTTTTTAACCACGTTTACTATTGTACGCCTGAGCGCGTCCAGCGACTAAGTCCCGTCATACGCTAACTGTGCGACCGCGTAACTCCAGTATCGTTCCAGCATCTAATTCGAAACTCTATATCTAAATACTACCCCGTATGACAAGTGTTTCAACGCTTAAACCAATTGAGCACCTAATTTTTTTAACCACGTTTACTATTGTACGCCTGAGCGCGTCCAGCGACAAAGTCCCGTCATACGCTAACTGTGCGACCGCGTAACTCCGGTATCGTTCCAACACCTACTTCGAAACTCTATATCTAAATACTACAACGTATGACAAGTGTTTCAAAGCAGTTACGGAACGAGCACCTAATTATTTTATCCACGTTTACTTTTGTGCGCACGAACGCGTCCAGCGACTAAGTCCTGTCATACGTTACCTTTGCGACCGCGTAACTCCGGCAACGTTTGAGCACTAACCCTGAATGAATGCGTGTATGAGAAGTGCGAGAAAATGTCGTGTGAATGCCGCATGAATTGTTTCCTAGTATGTGTGTTCGAGTGTGTACCTGTCCTGACGTAAATGTATTCGCTAAGGAGCGAAACCATGTGTGTGCATTACGTGTATGTGTATTGACTGTGTGACTAATGTATGATCTCCTAATTACGGTGTTTTAAGCGTATGTGATATGAACTCCGGTTGTGTCTTGAGTGTGCAAGTGTGCGTGCGACATGTGTAAGTGAATGTGGTGTGATTGTAGTATGAATGGTCCCTTAACATGCATGTGTATGTGTGTATCTGCCCTATTGTTAATGTTATCCTTAAAGACTGTAAACGTGTATACGTGTTATATGGATGTGACCCGTTGCGATGAGGTGTGAACTGTTTCTTACTAACAAATTTGCGTATGTGTGCTTCTTAAGGTGTGGTATCGTCTGTGTAAACGTACTTGTGTAAACAGTGTGTCGTATAAATGGCTTCCTAAGTACGTATGAATGTGAATAACTGTGTATGCGTAGTTAACAAGTGTGAGTGTAGCGTGTCTCCCTTGGGCAAATATTCTTCTCTTTATCTTTTCTGGTCCTCTAAAACAAAACTTAAGAAATAAAATCTTTTCTCCGGGACTCTTAACAAACCCCATGTTAAAATAAACATACCAGTTTATTCGGTAACAAAAAGAATCTTAACCATACAAGTCGCGCAATTTTTAACTAAACTTTGAATATAAAATCAATAAAAGATAACATTCTCTTATATCTGGGCTTACCTATACGTTAACCAAACAAAATGTCCTTTAACTAAACTTAATGTTGTTATCGAAACTTGTGACTTTAAACAACCACGTTGCGTAACAAAAACTTTCTTAAAACTAAAAACTTTTAACACGTAAACTTATAGTTAAGCCTAATAATATGATTAATAAACAATATTTCACGCAAAGTCTCTTTTAAGTGTCCGCTTTCTCTTGCGGGTCCCTTTGAACCTCCGGAGTCGCCTCCTCCTTCTGCATGTTGTCGGTTAGAGCAGCCACTAGTTGCTCCGTGGCCCCAATCGTTGACTGTTGCTTCCTTTATCTCCACCTGTGGGCAGAGGTGCCAGTTTGCGGACGCTAGCAACATGCAACAGCAAGTGGAGGGGACACGAACACAAGCGAGCAGCCACTCGCCGAGGCGCTGAGCGCACACGTACACGGCTGTTCGCCTGTGTGCGTTTCATCTGTATCTCCTCTACTTGCTGAGCATGCTGCTAGCATCCGCAAACTGGCATCTCTGCCTGTGGGTCCGGTGACATAAGGACCATCCTTAATTGCAAACCACCTAGCACTATCGTAATTGTAAAATTAATAAGTTAATAATAACTAAAAGAAATAAAGCAAAACCGTTTGCATCACAAAAATCAGCGTCTCAACCTGCAAAATACCAGTCAGGTGAAAAAATAAAAAAATTGTTATTTAAAAATTTGTTGTTTAAATAATCAAAATTATTAACTTTTAAGTCTAAAGTATTTTGTAGTTAAGTGTTAGAAGCACGAATCAAAAAACCATTTTTTCCTAACTCTCACGCTTCTCGAGATATTCTAATTGTTTATTTTTACTAATTATCATTAGTTAAATGGCACAAAATTGAAAAACCTGTAAAACTGGTTTTCCGCTATCTTCTTCTTCTTTGCTTAAATGGCGCACGCCCCTTGGTGAGAGAAGCAAATGCCAGTCTGTAGTCTTTTATATTCTCATACCAAATAGAGAAGAAGGGGATGTAGAGTTGTTTACTACAACCACGCGATACACGGCCGTCTTTTCACAGTGAGCGTGCCCATCTGTGTCGGACTTGTGTTCGAGGTGTTATGATCGCCTTGTGGTAGGAGAAATTACTTCGGGATTACAGTCCCAATTACTTTGGGATTACATACACCCAAATTAATTATTAGAGGCCCGATTTATTTCGTCGATCAACCGATAAACTCGGTTGAAAGGGACCGGCCCGGAAAAAATCCTTCGGCGGTAAGCGGATTCGAACTCGGGACCTCCAGGTTCGCAACCCCTGCACTCAAGCCGCGAGACCATTGGGCCGGTCAAAGTTTGGTTTTCCGCTATCTCTGCTAATTCACGAAATATCACTGATTTTAGAATAACCACTACGTCGCGTTAATTACGTCATACCTGAGTGAGTAACAAGTATAGTAACGTTTTTTTCATTGCTAAAACCCGGAATTTTCTGAAACATCTCAAACCGGAAAGCACAGGGGCAGTATATCTGTATATATGTCCACGAAACTATAAGGCGGGACCCTTTGCACGCAAATCTTATGTATTCAGTATATCTATATTTATATAAGTGTCATTTCAGTTTCACGCTTAGGCGTATTACTAAAGCGTCTGTAGCATGGTAAAAGCGTACGTAGCGTCTATAATATAAAGTTCTTTAATATGTAAAGTGCACGAGCACTCAGGGAATTGTCTCACGACATCCAGGCGCCGTTAAAGGTAAAAATAACTTTTCTGAAGTAACCGATGTTACGTCCAAGTATGTAAAGTCACGGTACTTAGAAACCGTTTACGCCTACCGAACAAATGTCCCCCTTTTTGGTCAACTCAAGGGCTTTACCGTGGCGGAGAGTAAGGATCAATCGGGAATAGAAAAAAAGGTACACTGTTATTTATGTGTGTGTGTGTGTGTGTTATTGTAGTGTTGACGTTAATGTGTTACCGACAGTGATGTTGTTATCGTCAGTGGCATATTACCGATAATGGTGTATTACCGGCTGTAGTGTATTACCGACTGTAGTGTGTTATTGACTGTAGTGTATTACCGACTGTAATGTATTACCGACTGTAGTGTGTTACCGACTGTAGTGTATTACCGACTGTGGGGAATTGCCGACACAAGATAACGGAGTGAAAGACAAATAACAGATTGGCTAAATTAACTTGTCAATTTATTTTGTATTAACTTTCTCTCCTTTTATCGGATACAAAGTTTTGCGTCTTTTTCCCATGTACACTGCAAACCGAAGATCTGATGCTGGGATTATAGGGGAATATATTACCTTTGGTTTATCGATTTTAATTAATTTTCACTTGGGCCTAATAATGACGCGAGGACGTCCGTTGTCCGTTATACTCGTTATAACACACGGAATGGCTCTTACGGAACGGCCTCCTGTGTTTGTTGAACGGGCGTTCTGTCTGTTCAACACCGACGGGTCAAACTGCAGGCTGCTGCGACCATAGGTTTGAAACAGATTACGCAAATAGTAATTTCTGCTTTTTTGACGCGTGCGGCGTCTTCTTTGGTGGGCGGAAATCGAGGGGTGGGTTACGTCTTGGAGACAAAAATAAGCGTGCAATTGTGATGCATCTCTCTAAATTTTGTATTCTGGACGGGACACGACAGGCGTGCAATCGAGATGCACCTCTCTTGTCTCAGAGCAGAAAAGATCGAACAAGCGTGCAATCACGATGCACTTTTCTTGTTTAAAATAAGGAATAGTATCAGGTGCGCAACTAAGTTCTCACTGTTTTTTTTTAAATGCAACTTTATTGTAAAAAAATGGTTACAAATGAATCCTTTAACGTATTGCCCATCTGTAGTTATAACTTTTTCCCATTTTTCTGGCAGAGCTCGAATACCGTTACGGTAAAAGTGTTCGTCTTTTGAAACTATTCACGAATCAAGCCATTTTTTGATGTCTTTATATGAGCGGAACTGCTGATCAGCCAGACCATGTGCCATCGAACGAAACAAGTAATAATCGGACGGCGCAATATCTGGGGAATATGGCGGGTGGGGTAGGATTTTCTATTTGAGCGTTTCCACGTAAGTTTTAATAGGTTTGGCAACATGAGGCCGAGCGTTGTCATGCAGTAGAATCACTTTTTCGTGCCTCTGCTCGTATTGTGGCCGTTTTTCGCGCAGTGCTTGGCTCAGTCGCATCAATTGAATTCGATACCGTTCCTCAGTGATGGTTTCGTTTGGTTTCAACTGTTCATAATAAATAACACCTACCTGGTCCCACCAAATACACAGCATAACCTTCGCAACGTGAATAGTCGGCCGAGCCGACGACGTAGAAGCATGACCGGACAGTCTCCATGACTTTCTTTTCTTTGGGTTGCTGTAATGAATCCATT